AGCGGGGAGGGCGCCGCTTCGCCCATGGCGCGGGCCAGAGCCGGCAACCGAGACCCATGTCAAATGGTCCCCCGTGGAGCCAGAAGGCGTGCGGGGGAGACCCACAGGCCCCTCATCACAGGGGCGCTGGGATCTGCGCTGAGGCTTGCGTCCAGAATCAGAAGCCCCAGTGAAGCTGCGCCCGCCCGAGGGCAGGGCCGCGCGGATACTGTACCTCTCCCGGGCCTGCGCGCAGTTGTTGACGGCCGGGGCCGGCTGGGCGTCGTACAGTCCGCTCTGCCTGCGCTGCTCGCCTCGGGCTGGGAGCCTGCCTTCCACCTCCGCCAGCCAGGCCTGGAACAAGAGACACAAGAGACCGGCTGAGGCCACCCCGGGACCTGGGAGCCCCGGATCGGAGGCCCTAGGCACCAAGGCTGATGGAGAGGGATGGGCGGGGCACCGGCATATGCACTCGAAGGCCGCTGCTCCGTCTCTTCCCAAGGAGCGGAGTGGAAAGAACATGTTTAGGCGCGGGGGTGGGGGGGGTGGGGGGCTGACCCTGTCCCACCCCTGGGCTGTGAACAGCCGTGTGACTTGGGATAAGTCACTTCTAGTTCCTTCTGTTCCCAAACCTCTGTGACCCAGAGGTCACACTGGGAAACATGAGGAACTGCCACACTTGAGCGCTGACTCAATCTGAAAGCCACACTTCCCTTTCCCACTTTTTCCGAGTGTCATTTTTCAGAGCGAGAAACGTGCACAGAGGACATCAGAGTGGACAGTTACCTTCAGCGACATTTGAACTAGTTCCCTGTTCATGAGGCAAAAGAATACAAATGGCCAGAAATGGACATTTCCAGGTTCTAAACACGCAAACATCCATCACTGACTGACAGGTTCTAGAAACAATAAAAACCCACACCTGACCCCTCACTGACAGACACAACGGATTGGGACGGGAAGGATCCGTTCTTAACTTATTTTCCCTGCTCTGAGGTCTTTAATTTGGGGGCGAAAAAAAGAAGGCTTTGTCCTTGAGAGGGCGCCTCTCTCGCTAACACATGTACTAAGGCGTTTTCAGAGGCCAGTGTTTCCTGCTCATTTGTGTTTCCGGCTGGTGTTCACGTCTAGCACCCTGGGGTGCTGGGTCCTCTGAAGCAGCAGCACATCTCAATCCACCGCCCTGATTTCCCGGGACGAGGGCGGGTCCGTCCGTTACACTCTGGCAACGTGAGATGTTGTGGAACAAACTTCACCACGTCAATGAACAAACGACACTGTAGCCAAACAACTCGCCTTCCAATGGTGCCAGGAAGGGGACACAGTAAATGGGAAGTGCTGGGAAGCAGAGCGCTGGGGGGACAGTGCATTCCCTTTACCACAGCTCTGACACCGCCTTCCCAGGGGCAGGTGTCCCGTGAGAAAATGCTGGCGTCTGAACCCGCAGGCAGCTCACGACACCCATCCCTTCTGCTTCCCTTTTCCCGGCAACAGCTTTTCCTTTGTCTTTTCTTTCTTTCTTTCTTTCTTTCTTTCTTTCTTTCTTTCTTTCTTTCTTTCTTTCTTTCTTTCTTTCTTCTCTCTCTCTCTCTCTCTCTCTCTCTCTCTCTCTCTTCCTTCCTTCCTTCTTAATAATTCTTTATTGTTGCAAGTATTACAGATGTCCCCTTTCGCCCCACTGATCCCCTCCAGCCCGCCCCCCCCCCCCCCGGGGCCTTCAGCACCCTATTGTCTGTGACCATGGGTTCTGCATATATGCATACAAGGTCTTTGGTTGGTTACCTCCCACCCACCCACCCTCCCAATGGCTTTTTCATACCTCAAACTTCTGGGCCTCGAGCCGCAGCTTGTCTATATTTTGGATGACTTCTGTTAATTTGTGGTCCAGACTGGCTGGGTCTCCCATCTGAGGGTTCTTCAGGTACACGTCCTTCATCTTGGTGATGGCCTCTCTGGAAAAAGGGAGCAGACGGAGGGGGAGGCTGATGCCACCAGCCAGTCACATTCTCTGATCACCCTGGAAACCACGTGACTGGGAGACGGGTTGGGAGTGTGGGTGGGAAGGGAATATCGGGGTCAGCCCCCCTGAAACTTCTCCTTAGGAACCCTGCTCCCCGGGTCCATGTCATCCAGAGACCGATATTAAAACTCCAGCTGCCTTCTCGGGATGGGCCCTCCCCCTGCCTGCAGCCAGTAAGACGTATAAGTCAACCCAGACAAAATCCAAGCATTTCCACGAGCGAACGTTCCTGCAAACCGAAGCTGTCACTGGCCTCCTGGGTCTGTGGGCTGCAAAGTGTTCACGTCACGAAGAAGCCCGGCTAATCGCTTTGGAAATGTTATTACATACTATTTCAACTACTAAGAAATGGAACCCAGCCCGGCCGGCATGGCTCAGTGGCTGAGCGTCGACCCATGAACCAGGAGGTCACGGTTTGAATCCCGGTCAGGGCACATGCCCAGGTTGTGGGCTTGATCCCCAGTGTGGGGCCTTCAGGAGGCAGCTGATCAATGATTCTCTCTCATCATTGATGTTTCTATCTCTTTCTCCCTCTCCCTTCCTCTCTGAAATCAATAAAAAAAATTTTTTTAAAAAAAGGAATGGAACCGACAGTTGGTATCCATGGCAGGTGGGCCACAGGGCCTCGAAGCCGCATTCTGTGGACCCCGCAGTCTGTGCAAGGGACCCACACGCGCACGCATGCTCGGCTCGGGCTCTGTCCAGCACCAAAGAGGTCGGGGAACCTGGACTCTGGCTTAGGTGGCTCTCAGTGGGGCTTGAGTGGTTAGCAGTTTAGAGCAATGAGAAGTCGAAGCCAATGATACAACACAAGACTGAGCCATGGGAAACAGTTTAACTGAAAATACAGAAATAGCGGAAAGAGAATTCCTCGCACCTCAGCCCGTATCCTGCCGGCCACATGGGCTTCTGGGAACCGCCTGTTCCCCGTGAGGCCACCTCCCATTGGAGCCCTCAGCCCACTGCACCGCCAAGCCCCTGACTGGCTCTCCTTCCTTTTTCTTCACAGCATGCACCGTCCCCAACATCACATAATTATGCTTATTGCTTACTGTCTGTTTCTTCCGACTAGAAAACATGGAGCCGCTACAGTGGGGGCCTGGAGCAGCGCCTCCCCAGAGCAAGGACACACTGACGCCCTAGGGCTGGGTGTGTCTAAGACACTGTATCTAGACACCATCGAGCTCTCTACAAAGATAAGAGGCTAACTGTGACTGACTGAAGTAGGAAGACAAGGACATTTTGGACCCAAAGCTAGGATGTGGGGGGCAGGGAGAGGGTGGGGTCAGGCCACTTTTCTCATCCTCATTTGTATAAAAAAGCTCACCTACACACTCACGATAAAAGAGATAATCCTATGTAGTTTGTTCCCCAAACTCAGAATAAGAATAAAACCTGCAGATAAACACATCCCCCCCCCCCGGGTTTGTAACAGCAGCCCAGCAGGCCAGCTCGGACGCAACACGTGCCTGAAGCAAGCACTTCTACTAAAATCTAGGCTAGGACTTCCCGTCTTTCCAAACTGAACTCGGATTTCTGAAGGACCATATCGATCCACTCTACCTTTGATCCATCTCCTTCTGGATTTCTTTATTTAATTCGTCGACCTTCTGTTGGAGCTTCTTCCTTCTCTGTTCGGGCGGGAGGTTGCTGAAGTCCTCCGGCGCTGCACCCTGCAGACCGAACAGAAATAGGCCAGGGAAGGCCGGTGGGCCTCCTCGCACAGAGACGGGGAGGTGGCCAGCAGGGCCGGTCCCCAGACACCAGGGCGTGCGGACGTTTGTGAAATAAACCCAGCCCTTTCCCACGACACCAGCCGAGGCAGAATCCGTGCATGCAGACCAGTCCCCAAGCCGCTGCGAGCTCCGAGCTCCGAGGCCGCGGCCACTCCCAAAGGCAAGAGCGATGCTGCAGGAGGGGAGGGCAGAGGAAACACTCGACTCGGGGAGGATCCAGACAAATCTGAGACGAACCTTCCCTCTGTCTCAGTGTCGGTGGCCACACTGAAATTGAAGGCCATTTCAAGTTCAGGTTTCTTCATAGAAAACAGTGCCTGTCGCAGGCACTGCTCCCCGAGTCTGAGTATTGCTTCCCGTCTCTCCCTCAGACCCCAGGCCAAGGCCAAAAGTTCCCATCCCCGAAAAGTGACATGGACAGCGAGTTCCTCAGAGAATGTGGGTGAAAAGGGTTTTGTTTTTAAAAAATAAAACCTCCCCTCCCCCCATGCACTCTTGGCCCTCTGCCCCTGGAGGTCTGGACCGCCTTTGGGCCATCGTTAGGGTAACCTCGGACATGCCTCAGAGTCAGCGCCTGCAGGGTGTGGAACGGCCTCAGCTGGTCTCCTCCGTCTGAACATAGTTTTGTATCTCGATTCCCTTTCGAAAACAACCGCTATCGTCCCTCTGTGCATGCGATTTAAGGGGAAAACACCAGCAGCGAGCGTGTAGACTTACATACGCTTCGCTTGTTAGAAGCTCAGTGATGGTTATCAAGTCCTTTCACTTAGAGAAGTTTATTCGATGACCAGGGCTAAGCCAAGGGCTTGAGACAAGAGATGTTCCTTTGGAACCGATCACACAAAGGCAAGGCCGGCTTGGGGAGTGGGCGGGAAAGAAGGGACCTGGATAATGTCACTCCCGAGTCGAGCTGGGTCTGCCTAGCGGCTTCCACGGGGGGGAGGGGGGGGTGTTTGTGACCCAGGTTCCTAGGCCGCTTGTGCTAAGCGGCCAGGCTGTGGGGCTGGAAGTGTGACTCAGCAAATAGTTCAGCACCAGGACCACACAAAGGCTAGTGTTCTCAAAGCCGTGTGTGTGTGTGTGTGTGTGTGTGTGTGTGAGACAGAGAGAGAGAGAGAGAGAGAGAGAGAGAGAGAGAAGTAGTAAGATGTAAGACCACAATGGAAGTGACTTTTCCCTAATGCCAAACCAAGGACTCGATTCACCTCTAAAACTAAAATGAAGCCGCTAACCTCCAGTATGAAATAACCGGCTGTTTTTCCTCCCGTACACCATCCTGCTCTAACACCTGAAACCCTGCTTTTCAATTTGCGCGATTCCATCGCTTCCGAGAGCTCAGCGGCTTGTTCTCCGGGCAAGTTTACGTGAAGCAAATCAGCACGTGACCTAGAAGTGAGGTTTGCGCTGTTTGCTCTGTCTTGTTCCTCAACAAAACGCAGTGTGGGAGCCACTGCATCAGAAGGCAGGAGCTCCAGCAGGTGGCCGACGCGAGGTCGCTGATGGCATGGGCCTTCCTCTGCGCGGAGGCTGAAGAACTGCCTACGGTGCTGCGAACGGCCCGCGCCCGCACCGTCCCGCACAGGAGCCGTATGCGGCTGCTGAGCTGGTGGAGAGTGGCCGTGCAACTGTGGGACTGAATTTTAAACTTTTATTTCATTCTAATTAGCTAAGATTTAAATAGCCCCGGGTGTGAGTGGCCACCATGTTGGGGACACAGGTCTAGAGGAACAGGTGCAAGACTTGCAGGGATGGGAAAACAGCTGCAGAGACTAGTGTAAGCAAAACACACTGTGCTTGTGACTTGCAATAACGAATTCGTGAATTCTTCCCAGCGGATCAGGCGTCAGTCTAACTGACCCGTGAGGCCCCCTCAATAGATCGCCTACGTTTCCGTGTTGTTACTTAAAACGAACCTCGGTCACGATGGCTCCCACAAGCCTCGTGCTGCTGTGGAGGCTCAGGCCGAAGCTTCTAGATCCGGAGACACAGGGTTCCCGGGAAACCTTAGCAGCCCTTCTGCCCAATGAGGCTTCCGAAGCTCGGATTCCTTTACACAATACCCTGACCTAGGATTCCTGTTGCCACGAAGGCGTGTATATTTACAGCTCTGAGTCAGGATAGAGGTTCTGCAATCTCGGGAGCACCGGGTACAGAGGACCAGGGCACTGGTCTTGGAAGGAGGGGCCACACACACGTGCATGTTAACTGGCTGTGGCTCCAGGAGACCCTGGTTTATGGCTCCTGGGACCGAACACGTGCCCCGAGCACTCCTCCCAAGCAGACGAGAGCAAGCTGCTTCCTGAGGCTGGAGGTTTGGACCCCCAGCCACGGTGGGTGACCTCGCTTTTTTATTCACTTCAAAGTGATGGTCTAGGCCAGTGGTCGGCAAACTGCGGCTCGAGAGCCACATGCGGCTCTTTGGCCCCTTGAGTGTGGCCACGAAGTTTCAATCGCACTGTACGTGCGCACCCGCAGGTGGTATCTGTGGAAGAGCCGCACTCACGGGGCCGCAGTTTGCCGACCACTGGCTAGGCAACAACTCAGTATCAGGTGGGTAGAATGATTTCTATCTCAAACCAGAAAGACTGCCTGACAGCATGGCCTTCTGCTGGGAACACCGCAGCATAAGGGCACGTGAGGGCAAGGAGGCCCGGCGTCCGAGAGGCCTGGTTAACCGGTGCCGCCTCTCCCAGATGCCTGCCACCGAGGAACGCGGTGCCCATGAGCATCCGGATCTTCCCTCTTGTCCTTAATCAGGACTTGTCTCGAGATTTTCATCTCAGCCCAAGAAATGTTCAATTAATAAAATATTCATTTTCTTTAGGGCTGTGTCATCAGTTGCCAGATACTGGTCAGGTTGAAAAAATTCTGTATATACGCAGATGCATACACACTTACACACGCGTGTATGCACGAATCACTGTGAAACAGCATCCGCATTAGCAACCGCAGAGCACAAAGTGCCCATCTGGCTCCTGGCGGAGCTGTCACCGTGATCACTGGCCACAGGTCAGGGTATTGTTTGAGAAGGTTGCTTACACACACCTGAAGTGGAGCTGTGGGTTATGCTGGTTAAGATTCTCTTTTAGTACATGGAGTGATTAGTTTTGTTCACGAGGGCTGTACAAGTAAGGAGAAACAACACGGAACACCGAGTCCATCAGCTGGGAGGCAGAGGCTCTGCACGGTCCACACATCACCTGGTGGTTCCTCCAATCAGCTAAGCACAGGCACCAGCGCATTTAAGAAGCGCCTTGGGGAGGTCACGGTTCTCCATCCGGGAGCCGCTCAGACCGGGTGTGAGCCTGGCATCGTTCCTGCGTTTGTCATGGGCTCTGTGGCTCTCAGGGAGGAGCATCTTACAACGATTACATTTACTTTTATTCTAAATGAGCCGATACATAGACTCCCCGCGACTCAATGTGTGTGTTCATATTTAAATAAAGAACATTTGTCATCGTTTTAAGGCTCCGATAGTAAAAAACAAACACCATAACCGAAATCAGGAGTTAAGCGTTAATTTTCTTAGCAACTTGGAAAGATAAAGATCTGTTAGGAGATCTATTAGATTCTCAGCCTTCGTGCTATGAAGGTCTAAGTCTAACAAAGACAGAGCCACGGCAGCACACACAGGAGAAGCACAGGCCAGAGTGAACGGCAAAGGCAGGAGGCACGGGGCGGGCACCCAGAGGACACACAGGGGAAACCTGGTTAGACCAGGGCATGCAGGGGACAATCGTGCTTACCAGCTTGAGAGAAAGCTTCATGGACAAGTTCAAGGGGGTGACGGGGAAAGAGAGAGAGAGAGAGAGAACACATCAGAAAGAGAGGAACGTGGTCAGCTCCACCGCATTAACATCGCAAATCCACCTGCCGCTCCGTGGAAATGGCTTGGAGCGGATCTGTGCAAAGTTCACAAGAGGGGCCATCCCACCGAACCTCCCCTTAGCTGCCGTGTCGCCAACGCAGAGCACAGATAGGAAGGCAGGGTTTCTGTTTGTAGTGCTGTGGGGCCCCATCAGCCCGGAGAGAAACGAAAATAAATCTGTAGTCGCTGGCATGTAACGATCATAAAAGACAGCAAGTTTTTTCACCAAACTTGCTGCAGACTAGAAGTCTGAGAAGCAATCACTTCCACAGCAGGCGGGTTATATTTCCACGGGAAGGAAATCTAATGAATAGGAACACTGGCGTTTCTTATAGGCACGTGAGCAAACTCTCAGACTGCTCAGCAGCAAACCAAGGACTGGAAGCTGCTCTGAGAAACTGCCTCAGGAGCCAGAGAGCCTGGGCACCAGGCGGAGGCGGCAGGCCCAGCGCCCGCCCGGGCAGGGTGGTCACAGGCTTTCCATCCGCTGAGCCCTGCCCACAGGGGGTGCGTAGCACTTGGGGAATTAGCAGGAGCAGCTGCTCTAGAACCTGAGCTTTGGGAACTAGACAGCCACTGGTCTCAACAGCCAAGGCCACTCCTGGCCGGGGCCTCGGGGGCCATCATCTGGAGCCTGCAGCTGCCATCCTGCCGGGCCTGACGGTGAGCAAAGGTGTAGTGATTACTGGGCCCCAAACAGACAAAAAGGTCTCTCAAAATTCGGAGAAGAAACACTTGGTTCTGCATTAACAGGTGAAACCTGCTCTGTGGCCATAGAAGCCAACCTGACAGTTTGGTGCCTCTGAGCTGCTGCCAATCCTAGGGGTTCAGGCAATGGGGAGGGGACCCAAAACTATCTCGGAGGCAAAGTTTCACAGAAAGTGCCCTTTCCTTTCCATTAGGAGGCGGGAGGGTGTTCAAATTCCTCAACCGGATTTAGAAAGTCTTATTCTGAAGACGAACTCAAAGTCTACACTTCTTTGTAAACAGGCTGAGCTTTCAGAGAGATTGTCTGTAGGAGGAAAAAGCAGACTTTCAAGGAAAGAGGTTGCAAGACAGAGCTTGGGGGGAGGTGCAGACAGCCGTGCTGTTCTGTGGGCAGCGATGGTGGCTCCCTGAGCCGCTCCTGTGAACTTGGCACAGACCTGCTCATCACAGTTTGAGTTCTTTACAGACAACGCTCATGGTGCACAGCGGGAAACTCTGCAAATACCTTCCCCACAGAGCACACGGCCATAGACGGATGTTTCTCGCACATTCCCGCTCAACACCGCTGCCTCAAACAGCCTGGGATTGGAACTCGGCAACTATCTGCTTTCTATTCAGCTACTTCTGTTTTTCAAAGTTACATAGTCTTTCTAAAGCATTCTAAAATACAGGATCCTGCCCTGGCCGGTGTGGTTCAATGGACAGAGCGTTGGCCCTGGTACTGAAGGGTCCCAGGTTCGATTCTGGTCAAGGTCATGTACCTCGGATGCATGTTCCCCAACTCTGGGCTGCGAGCAGGAGGCGACCAATAGATGTGTCTCTCTCACATTGATGTTTCTCTCCCTCTTCCTTCCACTCTCTCTAAAAATTAATGGGGAAAATATCCTCTGGTGAGGATTAACAAAAATAAGTAAGTTAAATAAAATATAGGATCCTAACATCAAAACGAATAGCCTAAGAATATTGCCACTTCATAATAGTAAGTCGTTAGGATTGAGAATAAATGCCAGTAAAAATAGGAAGTACCAAATTCTGGGACACATTCCATTTTCCCGCCATCACAGTACTTGCTACTGCTTGAAACGATTAGGAACCGGTTCTTGGTCTTACGTTGTAAGCCAGCCAGTTAGATGTTTTGCAATTAGAAACCGAATCATCTGCTACGGGGACGTTTTAAAGGCTGCGTACGGTGCGTTGCGAGGCCCTGGAGTACTGAAAAGCTGTCAGTGTCAGGTGACAGTTATGGAGCCTGGGAGCCATGAGGTCAAGAGCACATGAGAACAGAGAGCTAGCGCATCCATGTTACCGGCAGCCACAGGTACTAACCTCAAGTACAAGAAAGGGGACCACGGAAATAAACATCTGAGCAAGGTGTGCGAGGGCCACCGAAAGTCAGTCCACTCCTCTGACCTTGCGCATGCTTCACGGACTTAGGGGGTTCTCCAAGCTTTATGGGGTGACTCCCTTTATGGGGACCATCTGTTGCGGGTGTGGAAGTGGGTGACCGGGCCACACAACTGTCATCTGGAGGAGTGTCACCCTCCTGTGACCAGGCTCCGCAGCTGCATTTTATGGGGGAAATCCTGCCGTAACATCTTCTCAGACTGCAGTCACCCTCCATGGAAAGGGGAAAAACCAAGCTCCGCTTACTGACATTTTTAGGAAGTTTCACTGTTATTGGGAAGTTTGGTTCCTTTTTCCATACAAGTTTCCCGGATGAAGTAGCCTGGGGTTGAATTTATACAATTAGACTTTTTTCTCCCCGGCTGTCCGGGTCTCTCAATTGAGAATTTCATTTCTCGGTGGAAGCCTACCAGAGCGCACTGGGTCCCCGGTCTTGGTGGTGGCAATGGGGTTAGTGCCTGTGCCGTGACTGCGGGGCCTGGCCGTCACATACACTTACAACATAGTCCCTAGCTTCAAAAGCATACGTGGGTCTCCCTATCGGCCTCTTCTTGAGTTCTTTGTGGAAACAGAAAGACTGAGTCTGCCAATAATCAGCAAGAGAACAGGAGACAATGAATAAAATGGAAGTAACCATAGGATTGTAACATCTCACAAACAATGGGTAAGGATTTTCAAAATCATTTGAGCAACTTTGGTGGCATTTCCCCATATAATTAACTCTAAAACATGGGACAAAAAGGTCCGCACTTTAGATTTAGAAGTCCTTTGCTCAGACCGGAAAAAGAAATTCCAATTTAAGACAATGAAATTACACTTTGTAGATGGCAAATTGAGAACATCCTACCTAGGGTAGAGATGAAATAATGGTTAGTAACGCTCAAGTGGCATGCCAACTTTAAAGATGTTCAATGAACCAACATTTTCTTACAACTGTCACTAATTTACAACAAAAAAGATTTTATCCTGTGTAATTATTTAGAAACAAAATTGGCTAAAAAGTGTTTGCACAAGATTTATACAATCTGGTACAGCAACTATTTCAATCTGGATCTGACAGCTGCAAACACGATACATTAAAAGACACATTGAAGTCACAGATTTGTTATCTTCCTAGGATACTTTTCCTATCTGAGTAGTCTTCACGCTCAAAAATAGAATAAACAAAATTGTGGCAAGGACTGTATCATTCTAGTCATGTGCCTTCTGTTTAAAATTGCTTTAAAATCAAATTTATTCCCCCAAACTTCAGATTTGTTTTTTGTTATGAATTTCCTAATCCCGCTTCTATAATCTATTTCCTTTATCTTTTTTCCTTCTCCTTTTGCTTTCTTTTTTTGCACTGCTACTTCAGATTTGAAGGGACATCAAATCTGACCCGACTAACACAGAGAAACAAAAATATGTGTGTGCATGTGTGTGTAAAAGAAAACACACTCACAATTTAGGAAAATTTTGAACAGAGGTTTGCTGAACATAGAATTGAGGGGTAAAAAATAAAATTCATTGTGCTAATTATGGTTAAAAAAAAAAAAGAGAGAGCGAGGAGGGGTCCTTTAAATGATCAAAATAACCAGTTCCCTATTTCACTGTTTTTTTGTGTGTGTGCTTAAGTGTTATATTTTTTTCTTGCCATCTCTTTCTTACACTTACTGATCACTGACATTCTTGGGTCTTTTCCTAAACACTGAGAGGACCCTGTGGTCTTTGTCCCTTATTTTAAGTTATCTATGACACAGTTACCCTCCTTTTTACACAGAAGGAGGGACAGTAGGATTTATGTTTGTGCAGGAACATCCCACAGCAGCTGGGTGTGCGGAGGCACCCACGGTTACTCCTGATAACCATGCTTATTTATTCCTTATAAAGGGAGGCGGGGCAGCTCGGACGGACAATTTAGATGTATTCAGATGCCGCCAATACTTCATTCCAACCTTTTCTAACTGCTCTCTCCTCTGGGTTACTGTGACTTAAGCACATGCAGCCGTAATGAGACCGCCCACCTGAGTCTAAACCAGCCCCGCAATGAGTCACCAGTGTTATAACAGATTCTCTCTCAGTGCGGATGTCACAGAACCCCAGCCTGTGAACAGGCCCCCTGGCTCTAACTCCTGGCTGTCCATCTTCCTAACTTTACCTTTTTATGCCTCAGTTTTCTTATTTTTCGTAAAATAACCCAAGTAAAGTAAATGAGCGTGGAGAACAGAGTCTGGCATGTAATAAGCACTCAATAAACATCGGTGGCTGTTACTTCACCATTTAAAGATAAATACCGCATCAGGCCTTCTCCAGTCAGACATTCTATGGGAATTTTTATCAACATCTCCTCCGTTCACCAGAAGAGCTGAAGAAACCACTGGGACCCGTATCTCCTCATCGGACCCGGAGGCAGGGCTCAGAGAGAGGTGTCCTTGTTACCCTCACGTCGTTTCAGTAATTAATTATTAAGGAAATATATCCCGACTACACAGTGACTTCTAATTCCTCATCTCACAGGGCGCTAACTTTAGAAACTGAATCTTGAGTTTCCCTTTTTTGGTAAAATCAGGGTAAAATATTAATGACCTGAGTGTTTTAAAAGGGAAGTGGAGAAAAGTCCTTCTGGAATGCACTGAAGGCAGAAAGAACTCTGGGCGGGATGGCTCCTTCCAGCCACCCTGCCTACTTCCTCCTCTCTTCCTCCTCTTTCTAACTGCCTGTCTCGAGTCACAGGTCCTGACTGCTTTCCGTGGTGGGAAAACACAATGAGTTCATTCACAAACAAAACGAGTTACGCAGAGCAAACCATGCAACCAGAGCCCACGCGAGAGACAGGGTTCGGGCAGGACTTACCCCTCGCTTTAGGCTCCTGAAGCAGTGGATTTTGGGTTTGGAGGTCATGAACTCGTTGAAGCGATGGGAGAGGGGTTCCTTTTGCTGCTTGGGAGACTGGGGGCCGTTGGGAACAGCAGAGGGTGAGGCAGAGGCAGGGGGAGGAGGGGGAGGCTGATGGGGGGATGTTAAAAGGGACATAAGCTACGTGTAAGAGATGGAGCAGTGACAGTAAACATCAGAGACAAGAAGATAAAGACACAAAACAAAAATAAGCATCAAATAATAATTGAGATCCAAAGCAAGTAAAACACAAACAATTAAATATTTAGGCCATGGTCCAAAAGAAAACATGGGAATATGTCAGAATGAAGGACAGGATGAAAGTGGGGTTTTTAGTAAGTAATGCAGAGAAGAACAGCAAGAAATCTTTGACAAGCAGCCCATGCGGACTTTCACATGCAAATTATAGTTCTAACCAGTTACTCTAGACCAGTGTAAGCCAGAAGGGTAAACATTTGGAACCACCTAAACTTACACAGCATGATGGGAGAAAACGGAAGACCTTAAATGCTAGGGCTGGGAAAACAGCAAGATAGTTTTTTTTTTTTAAATTATAGAGTAAATATTCTAAGGGGAAAGCAGTCATGTTGCCTCGATCATATTTTATCCCCAGGTTAATGCCGTCATGCACCTACGTGTTACACTATAAAAGAAAACGGAAAATGTTCATGGATCCGAGTGTTAGCACGAGTTCAAAACCAAGTTACTAGCCCACGGAAACCGTTGCAGGTAGAGATGCCGATAAGTGGTTACAGGAGTCTGCACCCTCCCCTTCTCCAGCCCACGTGACCAGCCGTCTAAGGAGCGAGAGGCGTGATGGGAAATGGTGAGGTCAGGCATCTGTTAGTGTGGGTGACAATGCATCTGAAATTGGACAAATGGCCATGGCAAAGGTACCACCACCAGAAAGAAGACTGTTTTAAAAGAAAATAGCACACTGGCCTTTTTTTTTTTTTTTGGTATTCTAAAGCTACAGGTTTAGGATCCTAGTATTTTTTTTTAAGACTAAAAGATAAAATCAAAATCTGCACACTTTATCAAACTCATTCACACCAGGTACCAACCGCCAGTACCTTGTTTTTCTTGATGAACGGCCATAACTTTCCTTTGGGTTTGCCCCCAAATTTAAGCTCTGCTTTGCCTTCTCCTCTGGAATTGGAAAGGCTGTTTTCCGACACGGTGCGCTTCATCGGCTGCGTGTAATCCTCAAATTCGATATCTCCGGGAGGCTCAAACCCTGACTTGTAGGCCTCTATGACCAGCTGTGAGTCCTGAAATTATACCCATCACACACAAACACATTCAAATACATGTAAATGCTTTTTACACAATGAATTATGTTTACTGCATAGATGTTTTTCTCAGGAAGCTACATTAATTGATAAGAAACATTTTTTCTAGTAATAACTTTATCATTAGAAAGAATAATTTGTAACACTATAAGTTGAGTTGAGGTTTGAAGATACTTTCAATAACCAGTTTTCTGCATTTGGAAAAACAAATATTAATTAAGAACTTGGCAAGCCTGGCCAGTGTGGCTCAGTGATTGAGCATTGACCTATGAACCAGGAGGTCACGATTGGATTCCCGGTCAGGGCACATGCCCGGGTTGCAGGCTCGATCCCCAGTGTGGGGCATGCAAGAGGCAGCCGATCGATGATTCTCTCTCACCGTTGATGTTCCTCTCTCTCTCTCCTTCTCCTTCTCTCTGAAATCAATAAAAATAAAAGAACTTGGCTAAACACAGAGAAATTGGGCTATTATAAGCAATTCCCTGAAAAAAATACAGTCACACAAAAATCTATTTCCTATCAGAAGTTCTTAAAGCAATTTAGCATACACAAAGTCAGAGCAAAGAGTAGATGACCTCTCTAATTTCTCGGTTCATTGTGATGCTAATTTATTACATAATTTTACTTCATGTATATATTCCTCAGTCTCTCCTCTGCTAGAAAGTAAGTTCTCCTCCTTTTGCTCTACCGAATCCCTAGTACCTAGCTGGCACCCGGTGTGCAATGGAAATGTGCTGGACGAATCAATGTATCGGATGCCTACTCCTCGGCGTGCACTCTGCTAGGCACGTCGGGTCAACATGTCCTCAGGGGGCTCAGAAAGTTACAAGCACAGTGCCCTAGATAAAGGAGTCCATGCACAGATAAAGTATTACAAACACGAGTGACTGGTAATAACATTCTAGCTCGATGGTCATCTAATTAAAAAACCCACATAACTAGAGAAGATCATTTGAAAAGATTTCAACTGATTAGCCGTAGTTATTGTAGTTAAAAGGGAAACCACCATTCTGACATAACCTTGTGAGATTGTAAATGTCTTTTTCAAGGAAAAAGACATTTCCGAGCTTCTAATGTAAGAAATTAAAGTTGGGCTTGTTTCAGGGAAGTCAAGATTGGAGACTTAACTTCTAAACCCACCATTACTATTTCCCTTGAAAGGCCCTCTCCGCACAGTGACGTGCTGGTGACTGTGGACACTGTACACAGGGTGATTAATCCCTGAGACTGGCGTGATTTCTGTCCATGAGCCAGGCACATAAAACCACCCAAAGCCTTTGAACGAACTGCAGATGCAGAGACGCATGGAAGTAAAGGGTCAGTGGTGATGGGAAAATGGGAGGGGCGCTCAAAACATGGAACACCCAGACAGCGCAGAAGCAGCTACTGTTGACACCGAGAGCAACGGCCTGTCACGAGAAGGTTGAATGAGGTCACCTCCCAAACTTACAGTTTTCTCATCAATGCACTCGGCCGCCTTCACTATTCCATCCAAGCACTTCCCAATGATTGGAATCACCTGCCGGTCGACCTCCGCATAGGTCTTCATGGATTCTCCGAGTCTCACTATCCTCCGCTCCTCCATCTCTTGTATTTTCTGTAACATCAGATTTTGTGTAAAATTCATCTGCCCACGGCTGTCATTTAACGATGCTGTTTTTCAGCAGCACTGCTACCATGAGTCAACTGTCCAGTAAGCAAACAGGCCCATAAAAAGCAACTGTAAGGTTACTGCTCCCTGTACACGCATTTTATGAATTGGTGGGCTGCCCAAATGTATACTTCACACAATTCCACTCCTATTTCAGCAAGAATCCCAAACTCAGGTACTTTTAGTACTAACACCATTTGGTATTAGATTTCACACATTTCCTTCATCTTGGACCCACTGCTTTACCCTTTACCAAAAGCACAGTATTTGGTTAACTGTCTCAACCCAAGCAGGGCTGGGGTGTAACTAGCGCAGCTTCCTTCTGCGAGGTTTGGGGGCTCTTGTTCGCATGCGTGCAGACGCTATGAAGCAAAGAGCTATTGTTTTTTCTACAACTGCACTTGAGGTTTTAAAGATTCCCAAAGTGAGAGGACATGTGTGTATCTTTTTTGTTTTGTTTTGTTTTAAGGCTTAAATATCTTTTCTCATACCATTTTTGAAAACATAAAGGAGTCAAAAGAAAAATAATTCAAAGAACTGTCACCTGTTCAAATCTTACACCTATGAATGCTAATTGATTCCTAAAGTTAAGTTGGCTTTTTTTTGCGGGGGCGGGCATGGTAACTAGAACGGTCCTTTTAGCAAAGGAAGCGTTAATTTAAGAACCACTGCCCTAACTGGTTTGGCTCAATGGATAGAGCGTCAGCCTGCAGACTCAAAGGTCCCAGGTTCGATTCCTGTCAAGGGCATGTACCTTGGTTGCAGGCACATCCCCATTAGGAAGTGTGCAGGAGGCAGCTGATGGATGTTTCTCTCTCATCGATGTTTCTAATTCTCTATCCCTCTCCCTTCCTCTCTGTAATTAATCAATAAAATATATGAAAAAAAGAAAGAAAAAAAGAACCACAGTTCTAGACTCTGGGGCAAACCAAGGAAGCTACCAAGGCTACTGACGAATCTTGAGATGAACAGTTTACTTCATTTTACTGCGAGTCTATGTCGGAATGCTCCACAAAATGACTTGGGTTAGAGGAAATTGAGAATTATATAAATAACTTAGAATATAACCAGCAACCACAATCCCAAAGCCACACATTTCTTAGAAAGACAAACTGACCTGGAATATGTTGGGAATGTGAGTGTGGTAATACTCGCGCTGCTCATGGTTGAATTTCTGAAGAATCGATGAGTAATCAGCTTTGCTGTCCTCTGCCATTTGGTGACGTACTTGAGCTTGTTGTCGTGCCTGGGGGCAAAAAAATGAGAATATCCTCATGTTTACAGAGATCGAATGAAAGCCTAGAATTGCGAACCGGAGGGGCTGGGCTCAAATTTACCTCAAATGTGTTGTATTTAGCAGGTGCTATATTTTTAAAGATTATAGCTTACAGTCCACATTATTTTGTATCTGTTCCAGGAGTACACAGCATAGTGGTTACACAATCATATACTTTACAACGTGTTTCCCCTGATATTTCGTACCTACTTGGCACTGCACACAGGCATTACAGTATTTTAACTATATTCCAAATGCTGTTCTTTACATCCCCATGAGTTCTGTAACTACCAATTTGCATCTTTATTTTTTATTGATTGATTGATCTTAGAGAGAGAAAAGAAGGGGGAGGGGGGGAGAGAGAGAGAGAGAGAGAGAGAGAAACATCAACTTGTCATTCCACTTATCTATGCATTCATCAGCTGATTCTTATACGTGCCCTGCCTAGGGACTGAACCAGAAACCTTGGCATAGCGGGACTATGCGCTAACTAATTGAGCCACCCGGCCATGCTACTGCAAATGGTAAGATTTCATTCTTTTTATGGCTGAGTAATAATTCCTTTGCATATATGTACCACATCTTCTTTATCCATCCTCTACTGATGGGCACTTGGGTTGCTTCCATATCTTGGCTATTAAAAACATCACAGGTGTTATTTTTTAAAAATGGTTTAGAATTTGAATTTACTTTCGGTAAGGAGATGTGTTCTGATTTGTCACAAACCTCAGCATTCTGTTGTCTAACTTGGCGTTCCTGTCTAGGGAGACACCAGAGTCAGCATTCTTTCTCACCTGCACCTGCAACTTGCACTTGGCTACATTCACAGATTTGTGTTGCCTGGATGGGCCTTGTGAGAACTTCTGTGTATATAAATATATATAGAACACTGTGTACATATATGTTTTCTTCTTAAGGAGGAGGACATGAGGGAATCCATACATTTTTAAATTCAATTCTCAGTGGGGTTCATGAACAAAAAAGGCATATGAACCATGATCTAAACGGACTTTCTAAAACTCCCCACATTTATTTGTCGTTATACTGTAAGGAAGCAGTAAGCCTGCGCCCTCTTTGTGCTTTTTATGTTTTGGTGTATATGCTATTTTGTGGGCTTTCTCCATCCCTCCTAAATAATCAAGAATAAAATTCACCAGTTTGTTCCCTCTTCTAATCCATATTTTGGTTTCTCACATACCTACAGGGGAGGAGCAAGTGCTGACATGTTACAGAATGGATGTGAAAGCTCCAGCCAGATCCCAGGGATAGTTAGGCTGGCGATCCATCCTACACTCACCCAGCACTTGGAGGGTCCCTAGATAACACTGCTCAGGAACCCCGAGACGGGACCGGGGTGGGGGTGGGGGGGGGGCGGCGGCGCACACCAGGCCACACCCACCGCTGCCAGAGGAAGAGAAGGCTTGGCTGGCAGCTGACTTGGCAAGCCTGCCACACTGAGCCAACAACACCACAGGAAAAGGGCTTGTTCCCACATAACCAAGGCAACTTTTTGTTTGTTTGTTTTTTGCCTTGTTTTATGAACCCAATAGTTGGAAAAAAAAAAAAAAAAAGAAAGAAAGAAAGAAAAAGAAAGAACAGGAACGTTCAAATGTAAACCCTAAGCACACACGTGGGGGTTGTTCATCCCTTCCTGGCTGGTCGTTGATAACATCTCCGCTGGTTTGTGGCATCGCAGGGCTTTGCTGGTTTCCTGCCTGTGACGTGAAAGCTCACCTGGTTCTCACTTCCTGACTCACTGACTCACAGGCGCACTGGTCAAGGCCCAAGGTGGTCGCTGGGAGAGGCTTCCTTTATTCCCTTCCCCATGCATACAGACACTTCCCGAACCCGGTACCGGCATCAGCAGAGCCAAACGAGTTTCCTTATTGCCCGACGTGTCTCAGTTTCTTGAGGCCTCAGGTACCTCAAAACCACCACATCATTTCTCATCTCCCCTTGGGTCTTTCAGCTGCTACTCTTTCTGCCGCCCGTCCTGTCCCGTCCTGACCATATGCTGTGGCTTCCGCTTCTATTGCATCTTAGTAAACACAGAATCCGTCCCCAACACGCTACGTGCCCAGCTACCCTGACAACCCCACGCCCTCCTCCGCTAAATCGCTTCCCCACCTACGTGCACTCCATCTGTCCCTCTCAGGCCACCAACGCGAAGTCCTCTTAACTCTTTCAATTACCTAGACTTTACCTTCATCACTTGGTTACGAATATGAAAAAACACAAGGGAATTCCCAAGGCCTCAAATGTCTAAAAAATTCTCTATTTCATTCACAAACCTTCCTCAGAAAAAGACACAAAAACCCCAGGGGCAGGGGAGGGCTCGCCACTTCTGTAAACAAGAATAACAAGCAAGAAGACGGACAGTCCCCGTGTTAGTTTTGGAGAAATGATTCTGCCTTGGTGAATTTTAGAAACAGCTTCGTTCTGAAGCAGAGATCAGTACGTCATTATTATATACGGGGTGTCCCCCCCAAAATGCATGCAAACAGAATATAGTTATAAGTTATGTTTATTAAAATGCATTTCATTTTCATTTAACAGCTACCAGCTGTGAAAGTGTGTATACATTTTTGGGGGGACACCCTATATATATACATGTATGTATGTATGTATTTACGCATGTATACACACACACACACACGCCACATGAGCGTTTCCTCAGGACAAGTCCATCGTGCCAGCCTTGGGATATTTTTCTGATGAGATCTGGGGGCGAGCCCCCCGCAGCACCATGTGGGAGGAAGTGGTTGTGATCCGCTTCCTCCTCCCTCCCCAGAATCTCCGGCGATGTCTTCGCCTTGGCTCTCTGATGGCCTTTGTAAGCATATTCACTCATAATAGTTTCCTGATGTCCTTTCATATAACTAGGGACTACTACTGTGAACTGTGGAAGCGACCGAAATAAGCAGCCACATGTATCAGCTGAGCAGAAGGAAAGGCAGACCAACATCCGCCAGAGGGAATGGGGATGTTCCAGAAGCGGGTCTCCCTGGGAGCTTTTCTTGAGTGCCAAAGCTTGGCCAGAGATGGCACACGTCCATGCATTTCTACAGCCTCCCTCTCGCCCACTGAAAGGATAGAGAAGCACTTAAAGGAAGCAAAACCTTGTTGTACATTCAATTCTTCAAGGTCACAGCAGGAAGGCAGGACTGTCTTAGCCTCCATCCCCGCACCCATCTGCTTTGAATTAATCCTCACTTTGGAATCCCGAGCCCAGGAATGTGCCATTGTTCTGACCAAGTTTAATATGGAAAATCTTTTTCTGTTTTGTAAGCTGTTGTGTTTATTTTACGATGGAAAGAGCCAGCTCAATCAGTTACTAATTATAACAGGTATATTTTTAGAACTATCTTTAATAGTATTTTCAAAAATTATCTGAAGTAACCAATTACTAACTAGATGTTTTAGAACGTGCACCTCCTCATGTACTAGTATATGCTACACGAAGGTTAAAGCATCACTATTTCTCATTTCTTTTTAAGTCAGTCTAAAAATAGCCACTATTATCTTAAAGAGGTACAGTAGTTCCATTAATTAAAATTTCCATTCTAAATTTTTTTTTTAATGAGTCAGAGTCACGGAATTTAGAGATAATCTAAAAAACCCCAGAATGACCACAACTGCAGGAGACTGTAAGTCACACACATCTTTGAATAAGACCTACTCCACTTTCACTGTCAATCACAAAGACTGAATTTAAACTTGAGAATTTCTGTGACAAGCCCTTGGGAATCTCCCCAAATAAATCCAAATAGAAGTATGTACTGTTTACGCATGAGTTCACTGCTAGGTAATTTTTTTTTAAATTTATCTTTATTGTTGAATTACGGGGTAATTCTTTTTCTTTTTTAAAATTTTTATTGAGTTTATTGGGGTGACATTGGTTAATAAAATGATATAGGTTTCCGGTGCACAATCGTTTACACCATCTGTGCATTGCATTGTGTGTTCACCACCCAGAGGTAAGCCTCCTTCCGTCACCATTTGGGTAATTCTCAATACCGTCCACCCCCACATCCTATGGAAGTACAGCTTCCTGCCTAAGAGGTCAGACTTGCCGTTTCTAAATAAAGGAAACAATATACTAGAAACTGAACTGCAGCCCGATGCTTCTCAACCCGAATGGGCTTAAGATAAAAATATTGGAATGCATTTAGATTGTTAGCACGGACAACGTGTGAAGCGACTTCCCTATTCGACTTCCTGGATCCTGACCGGGCATCGAACCATGACCTCCTGGTTCATAGGCCGACGCTCAACCACTGAGCCATGCCGACGGGGCAGTAATGAGATTTATTACTTTCTTATCATGACCTCAGCCGCCTCAGGATGTGACTCCTGCTGTTCATTAAGGGACACGCCATTCACCGCAGAGCGCTGGGGAAGTCGCCTTTGCCCTTCACATGTAATATAACGAAGGACAAAACCCTGTTTTTTTTTTGTTTTTGTTTTTAAAATATATTTTATTGATTTTTTACAGAGAGGAAGGGAGAGAGATAGAGAGTTAGAAACATAGATGAGAGAGAAACATCGACCAGCTGCCTCCTGCACACCCCCCACTGGGGATGTGCCCGCAACCCAGGTACATGCCCTTGACCGGAATCGAACCTGGGACCTTTCAGTCCGCAGGCCGACGCTCTATCCACTGAGCCAAACCGGTTTGGCAACCCTGTTTTTTATTACCAAAAATTTGGGGATAGCAAATGAGGAATATTTGACAGCTCTGGTTGCTCAAATAATAGTAAATATTCTCTGAAGCAGCTGTACACTCAATACTTTGTTTCCTCATTATCAGAGGAAATGTGTGTGTGTTTTTAATGGAAACAATCTATAAAATGGCAATAATTTAATGATATCAACATCAGTTAATAATTAAATTGTAAAGACATATCTAAAGGAATATAATACATAATGTTCTGTCACATGGCAGATGCTCAGTTATTATTCATTCAATG